GCTCATGAGGAAGAATCCCTCTGTGGTTCGAATCTAGGTAGAGCTTTTCTCAGCACATTCACGTGAGTAACCCGCAATTTTAGTTAATTTAATATGTCTCACGATAGTTATTATAAAAACAATGCTAAACTTTATTAAACCTTATTAAAAAGTTTATTAAATTTACACAAAGTCAAATTAACGATGCATTACAATGATCATTGTCTAGTTAACTAATTCACATGTGTTTGCCAGTGCCACTGACGCACGCGCACTTAGTATGTCAACGATCGGCGCGGGAGTGTGCAGCGCCGGCGCAGGTACCGGTTACCTATCAATATTATTTACGAACTTCGTATCTACTTTCACTTATAGGTACATCGTTTTAAGGTACTTCTTATCTAAATGTCTTTGTACTTCATTAAAAAGATATCAAGCCTTTTCTTTGCATTTTATGCAAATGAATAATAAAGTATTATTATCAAAATTATTGGGTAGTCGTTGACTGCGTAAAAAGAGATTTTGGAAATTTTAATTAAGCACTTATATGTAAAATTATTAACCGCATGGTAGGTAACTTTATAGTTAGATATATTTTTTGAGTCTGCAAGTATTGAGATACTACAAAAAGGTTTCAATTTAGATCCACGAAATGGACCCAGAAAACTTTTGCCATTAGGTAATTGGCTAGGAAAGGCCCTTGACTCTGGAATCATAATTCTTTATGTTCTTAGAGCTCCAAGGACATTACACTCGTAACCATATAGTCGTAATTATACTGCACTTTATGTATTTACTTTCACATTTGCATAAACTTGACATCTGTCCGGTAACAATGTCATTTTTGACGACTATACTATTTGCTCAGCAGGGCAGTGGCATTATTTCAAGTGTTAATAAAATTATTTATGTTACTATAAAAAATATACAACATTGTTTCGCTAACAAAGTGTGGCGGTTACTCACTCATGAAAAATGTTTCTTTAATAAATAATTTTTAATTTACAATTTATTACATTACTGCGACATAAGACATGGCCAACCGCAGCGCATTCCGGTGCTGACGAAGTAAGATACTGAGAATATTAATTCTATGTAATAAATATAATTCTAATAGCAATCGTAGGTAGGTATTGGTATTGTATAGAATTATTCCATTGTGTGTAACTAATGTTTTAGTAATTAAATAAACTATGTAGATTGAAACCTATATCCTTCTAGCTTGATAAAGTCTCGGAACTTTTCGATCTTTCCTAAAACATTTGCAATTTGTCTTTGACTTTAACGTCCCACAAAATCTATAAAAACATTACTTTTTGCGACAGCAAACTGGCTTTGTATTCCTAATGCCTCTTAAAATAATATAGATCACAAGGTCTAAAAAATGTAATGCCCTAATCACGTAATTCCCATTAGACACAGCTCATTATAGTGCGGTAGTAAAAATCACACCTCAATGCTCACACATCATTGGTGACTTCAATGGATTAACATAAAACCAACCACTTAAAAATTGACAAACAACTTTAATTATTACTTATAATTTTCTAACATCCACAAAAACAGAACGCTTAATGAGTTGTTTACCGCAAATTCAAAAACCTAACTGGCAATGCTTCTGGGAGGTCGCGGAGAACCTAACGGGTAACCGGGGCTCCGGCTCGACGTGCAGGAGAAGGAACGGGATGGTTTTTAGTCAGTAAGAGTCTGACACTCCCTTCCGCCTCACCCAGGCGGGAGCAGTCATTCGATGATTTACCCCCTTAAAAAAAAATGCTTCTGGGAGAGCCCTAAGTAAAGTAAATCTTGCAATAGTTATGCAGCCTTTCGTAGAAACGTCTTCCAGATGTGGGCTAGTTATCTATGATATGCTAATAATCTAATTAGGCTTTTATCGTTTACCTTTGAACATGATTATATAGATATGTGTGCTAAGTTCTACTTAAATACCTACCTAGTGATAATTATGTTTCATGACAACACCGGTTCATTCATAAATATTTATTTACAGATTAGATTTTTTATGTGTTTTATACTAATTGTACTTACAGAGTAAACATCGTATTTTTATTTATTTAATTGTAATAAAACCATAGAATTGTATGCATTCATGAGTAATCGGAATTATTAATGCAGTCATGTGCAGTATGCACGTGGTCACAATTATAGAAACATGGCACTTGTTTTATGACCTTTTTGAATAGGCAAAACTAATAGCAATCAATCATCAACATTAAGTTAAAAATAGCAGTTGGATTAACTTCATAATTATCGATTTGATTAACTCCTACAACAATTGCGTCCTTCGTAGACAAAATACAAGTCAACATTGTCGACTATTTTCCATAGCATTGGATTTGGTTTAAGCACTACCAACCTGCTGTAGTGCTGTCCATGAAATCAACATTTTCGACGTTCGAATAACTGATTCAACTAACAGAAAGGTAAAGTGCTCAAAAATTAGTTTATTTTCAATTATCATTATTATATCTAGCAAGTATAAAAGATCACTCAGCACACTGGCGTGCCGTTGTAGAGGCCTATGTCCAGCAGTGGTCGAACATGGAAATATACGAATATACCTCTAAGTTTCCACTACATAGGTTGACGTCAGTTGATTACAGCATGATGTAAAAATCGATTAAGGACGCAAATCGAATTTCAGTATAAGGACAAGGACGCCACCTTACTCGAGATAACCAGTTGTGACGTCATCATTATGATAAATTAATTCTAGAGGTACAAACAAATTATTCTACTGATTGCACTAAAATAGTAGAGTACAGTTGACAAGTTCATACTAATGTAAACAATAGTAATAATATCTCCTATTAGATTAAGTATAAGAAACAAAATTCTTCGACTTGTAAAAAAAATTTAAACAGAAGAAAATCATTATATAAAAATATAGAATTAGTAGTGCCATTGGACTAATTATTTTCCTATCAATAAATCCAGCAGCGATTTTTTTACATACCCTTATTGTCTAGGAGGTTCCTACGCGATTGACAACATATTAATTATTTTTTTATTGACAACATATTATTAATTTTAAATGTGGGAAAGCCATGCTTCGGCACGCATGGGCCGGCTCGACCGGAGTGGTATGAGAGCGTTGTGTTTCGTCGTGTGAGTGAGGTTACTGGAGGCCCAGTTACCCTCCCCTTCCCCCATCTCCCCAATTCCTGAATCCCCAACGATCCTCAAACTCCTAATCCCCAAAAGGCCGGTATCGCACTTGTAATGTCTTTGGTGTTCCATGTGTCCATAGGCGACGCCGATTGCTTACCATCAGGTGATCCGTCTGCTCATTTACCTTATGCCATAAAAAAATATATATAAAACTCCTGAAAACTCCCAACTAAATCGATTTGTGCAAGCCTAAATTTCAAGTTTCATTGACATAAACAAATATTGGTTAGGAAAATAGGTTACAATTACAACATACATAGCTATATCTGTTTTACATAAAAGTTCCTCTTCAGTATCTTTAAAAATCTTATCATAAAGGTCGTGTTAGTCGGCGTTAATCATTCTAGACACACCACAATAATAAAATGCGAGACAGAGGAGCTCTCACGATCAACGAGCCGTCGTATTTTATAAACAGTGTCACGATCACGCGGGATTTTGAATGCATAATCTGTTCATATTCCCTGACCGAGGCAGGCCGAGACTCCTGTACAACCTGTCATAGCGACTATAGATACTATAGTACATAGTGACTATAAAATGACCAGATAGTGACTCATGCTCACTAACACAATCATTTACATTCTTGATTATGTTATTACGTATTAATATGTTAAATAACTAGCTTCTATACTAGTTCAGCCTAAGATCTTTTTTTTTATATATTTGATGGGCCGACGTTTGACCACTATCTCGCCTGGAGGTAAGCGATGATCGTTTCATTTGTAAAGGAAGAAGCCCATGTTATGTTTAATAAATAAATGAATGAAAAGACAACAGAACAAAACTACATTGACGGTACCTATAATGCAACGGCTACGTGAGCGATGAGCTGTTAATTATTTATTTATCTCGTAAGTCCCTGCACGGAACAATAATAGTTTGAATGTGTGATCCACAAATTTTTTTTCAAAGATGCATGACATTTATAGCAAAATCGATTTTTGCAAAAAAAATGTGATTTAAGTACAAAAATATTCCTTTTCTTCATGATATACCCATATTTTCGTATCGTAGGTACTATAGCAGAAGTAATAATAATAATAAATAGTAAGTAATTGAATTACTTTTATGATGACATTATCCTGCAATTGTTTGTAATCCTTTATCGCTAGTATTAATTTTCCTCTGTTCTGATTGATTTAGTGACAATCACGACAATCACAAAACAAGGTAACAAGTTTATTGTCTTTAAATTACCGCGTTTAGATAATTATAAATAGTTTTTTTTCTTTTAAAAATGGCCATTAAAACAGATTTATATTTATACTTATAATATTTATTGTATAAATAATTTAATTTTCGTGCTTCGTTTTTGTTAGAAAACAATTTACGTATTATGTTGAAAAACTTGACTCTTAAAATATCCAATACTAATTTAAGAATAATTCTATTTGTGCCTCTTCAATTGAAGAAATAATACAACCGAACTGAGTAAATGTATCGAATCACTGACTTTTGAAACGACACATTCCATTTTAGTATTATGATATCATATAAATCGACATTGTATTAAAATGCCGAGTGCGATCAGTTCGATGTCTGTCAGCAAAGGTCAAGTTATCTTACTAACTGTGTTGGTATAGGTAATGATTCCACAACAAGCCGTCACGTGCTCTCTTGCCAAATTTTTAAGTGTTCAATTGATGAAAGAAGTAGGATGTGTACATGTGTACAACTGAAGTGACATTGAGATACGCACGTAAACATAAAAGGAGAGAAACAGGACCGCAGCATTTACTAAAGCGAATAAAAGCATTTTTACAATTAACAACAGTACATTATAGACTATTTGCTCTACTAATTACTAATGAGACACTTTGTTACAGAAAATGGCTGGAAGAAATTGCACTGGCGAGCAAGCAGGGCCGTAAACCATCTTTACTTCGCGCAATGACCAAGGCTTTCTGGATGAGTTACGCTCCTTCTGGCATTATGTTCCTGATACAAGCACTCGTACTCAAGTGAGCAATTTCGTTGACTATCGGTGGCAGTCACGCGAATGTCACATTATGCCAATTACTTATCAACTAGTGGTATTTGTTGCCTTCCTCATCTCTGTCATAGGTTGGACCTGGAAAATTTCAAACATAAACACTAGTCATTACAATTTAGACGGAAAATTCTGTAATGGTTTTTTTAATAATGATGACCGATTAATTCCTCTACTGTTACTTAGGTACATTGTAATAAATACCACCACCAATATATACCAGAATTGGTATGACGTCGCTAAACTTAGTTGATTTGCTGATTCAAAATCTTGCCCAAACTTTAAATACTTAATTATTTAATTACTTTAAATAATTAATAATAAAAATAAAAATTAAATATATTAAATGACTCTCCTTCTCTTTGGAACTGCAGGCCCTTCCAACCAGTAGCGTTGAGCTTGATGCTTACGTACTGGGAGCCAGGCTCAACTATGTCCTACGAGCAGGCAGTGTACTGCGCGACAGCTGTGATCATGATGTCGCTGCTCATCGCCTTCCTCAACCACCACGGCACATACTCCACTCAACAGTTCGGCATGAAAGTTCGCATCGCCGCCTGCTCACTTATTTATAGAAAGGTAACTAAAACTAATCTCTATATACAAGTAGTAGACAATAAAATTGTGGCAACAAAGCCTATAGGCCGCCTGATATATATAGTCTCCATAACCCAAGTCCTACTACGACACCAGAGGCACGAGTGAGGTCGTTATCAACATTACCTAAACCACGTTCGTTCCATGAAGTCACATTGATATAGTACAAAAATAAATTAATTTATTCGTAAAATTAATCGATCATTCACCGCAACATTGAACCTGACATGACAACGAGGTATTCAACTTAAGTACTAAAGTCTATGCAGATGATGTTAATAATTAATTGTCTACTTTCGCCTTAAATACAAATAGCAATTGTATAATGAATGTTAATCCTATAGATAATATACGAAAAGTAGTTATTTTATCAACAAAAACAATTACCTACTACAGTTGTTGTTTAAATAAAAAAAAAACTAAACTATGTACCTACAGTGTTCAAATGACACTATGATATAAGTTTGTGGAACACCATGGGTCAAGGGACAAGAAAGATTTCACAAACGCTTGGGTGTAAACACGAGAGTATACTTACAACAATAGGAAATTTAGGTGACCATTTGAATTTGAATGACAATCGGCCGGTGAGAGTTGGATGTAAATTGATCTAAGACAAAGATATTTGAATAAAAATCTTTTATTCATAGGGAAAAGGGCTTTATACTAACTATAAACATTTTAACCATGATTGATTGTTAATTCATAATTATTGAGAACCGGTTGTTAAGTAATATTTCGAGTGTCTAATAAGCTTCTGCTCTTGGAAGGCAAACAGTAGCTCAGCCAATTTCCTTATATCGGCACCTAGTGAAACCGTTGACTTGTGGTTAGTGCAAAAGTACAATTACAGTCTCTTTCATTGGCCAGGTAATGCGGATGAGTTCCGGTGCGCTAGCGCAGACTACAGCGGGGCAAGTCGTCAATCTCCTCTCAAACGACGTGAACCGTTTCGACTATGCCTTCATTTACACACATTTCATCTGGATCCTGCCACTCCAAGTTGTCGTGGTGTGCTACCTCATATACTTAAAGATCGGCTACGCAGCCATCGTAGGAGTCATCGGCATTGTGTTGCAGACCATACCGGTACAGTGTATGTATATTTTTGATGTTATTGTTTTACCAGGATGTTGAAGCAATTGTTCATGTATAACTGAGGATACGGCAATGGTTACACGAATTCGTAACTCAAAAATCATAGTGTTACATAAGTTCTATGACAACATAAATTGTCAATATCGATACGTAGACAATTAGCCACGCAGTGTAATCTCAGTATTGTCATTATGAAACGAGCAAACTGCAAGAAATATCTGCAGTATTTTAAATGGATATGTGGATATCGCTTCCTGTTATGCAATTACAAACTATAAATAAGGGTCCATAAATTACTGACACCCGATAAAATCGTGTGGGCAGAGCATCTTTTAAAAGTGCAATAAACATTCAGAAACGTTATTTTATTCTTGCAGCTTATATGAGTAAATTGGCGGCAAGGTTGCGAATGAGGACCGCGTGCAAAACTGACGAGCGCGTGCGAATTATGGACGAAATTATTAGTGGCATGCAGGTATGTTGATCTGGATTCTCCATTGTACTCATTAGATGTTACAGTCTGCCAATAAAATAGAACAAAGCCTTTAATTAACTTTTGTTGCAATTTAATAAATAATACGAATTTACCTATACCTTGATAAATCTTGGTCGTTATAGACATTTAGCATTTAATCGTGTTCGCTCTAATAGAGTTATTAGTTATTTCCACAAGTTGGACAGGATGAAGTATAGTAATTAATTTCTATTATAATAAGAAAATTGCTTCAATTGGCGCATGATGCAACAAAGAACTACATCGATGTAATATTTGCTCTAAAAAGCGTCAACTGTAAGTAGTAAACATATGACCTCATTTAACCTAGATATGGGTCGAGCTTTCAATACCTATATTCGATGCTGTACCTTCGCAACAAAAAATATAAGGAAAATTGCACTTGTATTTATTTTATGTCATTACTCGACATGGCGCCCTTCGTTTTTTTGCAATGGTATTTAGTTATTATCGAGTCTGGTGTAGTCATCACAACTTATTTTTGCACATACTAATAAACCACAAAGCAATAACAAGTCTTTACAAAGACTGTAATGATGCAAGTACGTCAGTACATCAGCAAATTAATGAGGTTCAGGCCTTAAATGCACATTTTTTGTCGAAGGCCCTGAAGCAGAAGATTCTATTCATTGGTTATTATTTTAGGTGATAAAGATGTACGCCTGGGAGAAACCTTTCGAGCAGGTAGTGGCTTTGGCTCGCAAGAACGAAATCAAGTGCATTACGTCAGCGTCCTACCTCCGAGGAGTGTACCTCAGCTTCATGGTGTTCACGGAGAGACTCACCCTGTACATCACACTGCTCTCCTACTCGCTGTTCGGTTTCCAAGTTACCGCAGATATTGTAAGTCACGCTACAATTCTGCTTCACTATTATGCTTTATGTCCGTAATATTTTATACCTTAAATAAATCAAGAACAATAGCCAAGTAATTAGGTGTCGGTCAATTAGGAACAGATTAAGATTAACTCACAAAAAGAATTGACCCAATATTAGATCTTAATCAGTTTCGTTTGATCGACAAATTGTTTTAGCCTTTATATTGTTTGTTAATTTTATAGCTCAATGCAATAACACGTGACCCTATTTGAACAAAATACTGCATGCGAATTTGAACTAAAAACATTTTAATTGGCCCCTGAGACGTTTCAGTTGTAAATGAGGGCCAGTACATTATACGTGTACAATTTCCAGGTATTCCCACTGGCGCAATTCTTCAACACTCTACAAGGAACTCTATCGATAATAATGTCGAATGCCGTGTCATTTTTGGCAGAGGCGTTAATATCAGTGCAGCGCCTCGAGGCGTTTATGTTATTCGGTATGTGAGGCCTAACAGGTCTCAACTTCGCACAAATGCATGCGTTTTTGCAACTACCCTTTATACAACGAGTCCAAATTATATCCGAGACTCGGCGTTGATAATAACCTAAACAATGCAGAACTAAAATGCCTTTTAACCCGTGTAATCAGCACTAACGCCGATAAACATCGGCTGAATTGTTTATAAGAAAAATGTTTGCATATTACCTAACTACTTACCTTTAACCACCTACAGACAGTTTGTTCTTAATATGTTAACCAAAGAACACGATGTTTTAGTAGAATTTAACTGGCTTTTAGTTGAATGTTAGTCTAAAATTAATATCTAGTACTTTACTAGTCTCTTGTGATAGTGATATAAGAGAATCCGTACAGTTTGTGAATTCATGAGTAGCTGTAGAAACTATACATAACATATGACTAACACAACAAGTAGGTATACGTTGAGAGCTGTATATTGTATAGGAACGACACACGAGAAATAGTCAGAGTGAATAAAATCAGTGATTTCCGCAGGCGTTCCCGTTGGCACAAATGTTCAACATACTCCAGCTGACACTGGCTGTCCAAATGCCGACATGCCTGTCTATGATCATGGAGAGTTATACCTCTGTACTTCGTATCGAGGCATTGTTAAGCTTGGGTACGAGAATAGTCAGATTCGTTTTGGGTTTATGATATTTATAAATGTAAACGGTGCACTCGAAGCGTCACCATCATTTCTTTCCTGTTCTTTCTTACTAATATTTGTTTAACCAGCATTCTGTGTTAACTCACGATTGTAATCACGTGTGATATCGCTTTTCGCTCTGGGCTACTTACTAACAATTACTTTGAATTAACTTCTAATTAAAGGGTTATCTTTGTTCTAAGTCAGTTCTGTTTAGTTTTCTATTCAGTTACCTATCAACTTTTCATACGGGAAAGATCAACCTTTTCTGCGACTATATATTCAATTACGTAATAGTATGTACAATTATAACTAATGATGAACATCACGAATCATTTTCATAGCAAAATATCAATATTTTATTTACGTTTAGTAATCTATAAGTTCCTACAAATGGAACAGAATTATATTGTCATTCAAAGGTGTCCATAAAAACTCACTTCACATTGGAATAAACGAAACATGCAACAGTAATATTGTAATCATAAAAAGATGGCGTCGTTCAGAATAATAGAAGTGTGTCAGTATTCAATTAACTTAAGCTGGTATTGTAAACAGATGAGCGGGAGGACCTTCGCAGTGTCCCGGACGTAGACATTGCTAAATTGGTACAAATGGTAGATAACAGGAAGAAAAACCATAATCTTAGCGAAGTAGATCTACGTCCTAACACTTTCAAGAAAATCGACGAAGAAGGCATCTATAATCCAGGTAAGTTATATCTAATTACTTAAAACTTAACTATAAATATGAGTAATAATATGTATATGCGTACGTATACGTACCTACCTTATACGTGACTTTAGAAAATTAATATAGTTTCATACACTTTACACTTTTCTTCGTTACTAGATACTATTTCTTAACCATAGTTTCCTCGGCGTATTTTCTAAAATAATGAAGAATTCAACTTATAATTATTTTAGACTAAAGTAGTAACAAATGTCTATAAGAACTAATATTGAATCACATCATCGTATGGTGTTTAATTCTCATTCTATGACACACTCCATTTTCAGGCTGTATACCTATGTTGCCATCCACAATTGCATTTGGTAGCCAAGACGAAGGTGACACAAACGTAACACAATTATTATTAACAAAAAAAAATAAGTATAAAACAAAAATTACTGGGTCAATGAACTCCATTAAAGTGTTTGACGATTCTAGTTCCAATTTTGAATCTGAAATTAGTGATGAAGGTAAAATGGGAGGATGATATTCGGTTCGTGTGTGCTGCGGTTGGTGTTTCTGCGTGTTCTGCTTACATGGTACATTCGCATGTACCTACTTTTGTCCTCAACAACCGAAATCAACAACCGATCCTAATTCAAGAACTCTGAATTAATCTAAGTTTTTCACAGATACAAGAAATGTCTAATATCGATCGTAACCCATCTACAATAGTTTATACCAAAGTTTTTCAGACAAAAGTAGTCTCTAAACAATCGAAGTAAGATCTATACTAAAGGTAGGTGAGAGAGAACACCGGTGTCTTCTTGGCCTCATCTCCCCTAGCCTAGATAAAGGGACTCCATAATGATTATCTTTTCTACATTGAGGTCTAAATCCAAAGGTTTTGAAATTAGATCGGTTATTGATTTTAGCCGTAAAACAAATACAACAAAGATTATAAAGGTATTAAATTACCTTCTCAGTTTTGAATTATACATCGTTGTGTTTATAAAATAGTAACAGAAGTGGTGTTCATATTCACATCAGTTGACACCCACGTTGTCAATTCATGTTCAGGGTGAATAAAACTGTGTAATAGTACAATTACTATGTATATCATAGTGAATTATAGACACTTGAAAATGCCTTTGGGATGAATGATGGTCATAACGGCCAATGGTACAAGGATATTTAAGTTTTATGTTTTGTTTTGTTGCCATCTTTGTCATATAAAATGCTCTTAAGTTATGAAACAGTACCTACCTATATATTGGAGGAAATTTCCTTTCAACGCAAATACATACGTGGTTGTCGCCTGCACGAACTGTGCTGCAAGAACCAAGTCAATATGGATAATAGCGTAAAACCCATAATTAGCTATTGGTACTAAAGTATTTATTGCAGTATTGGGTCTGGTTTCGTATTGGAAGTGAATTATTTTTAATGAGGTAAAGCAATTTTACGCAGCAAGTGGTGGTCTGTGTTTTGATGCTTATTTTCTGTATGGCGTTTTACGAGTTGTGGTGATGTGGTTTTAATTAGCTTAGTTTTTATATAATACATTTTGGAGGGCTCCAAACCTTTTCCTTTTTTTTCAAAGGAGGATTTCCTCCATTCCATTGGTAAAAGGTTTCCGATAATCCTAATGTTGATAAAATATTCAAAAGGCTTTTTTACGCTGATCCCATTTAATATGGCACGTGTTTATCAACAAAAAAAATACGTGGCGTCCGGCTTTTACCGCATTGAAGGGGGTAACGGATTGAATCAGTCGACGAGACTCACCATTATTTATCCAACGGTTTACTATTATCCTTTGTAGTCTAGTTGTGGACAGTCGTATCGATTTTACTAGTGCACATCGTACAATGTATGCTTTAAAGAACCTTTGTGCCTCTAGATTACCTCATAAACTAAGTTTGATTCCTATGAATTACATTACATAAATTGCCTAATAATATGTATTGAATGTAATCCATATCCATTTTCCTGGATTTTAGGTTTTGAGTGCAATGAAAAAGGGTTGTTGAACTCGACTCTGTGTCCGATGCCAGTGAACCCAGACGTCGGAATAATGATCCAGAACGTGAGCGCCAGCTGGACAGACGACGGCCCCGTCACTCTGAACCAACTCAACATTACGGTACCCAAAGGAAAGCTCTGCGCCATCATAGGCTCTGTAGGATCTGGAAAGGTTGGTCTGTCATTAAAACCCATTTCTTGTTTATCGAGAATCTTAATCTGTAGGTAATAAAAGTTATAGAACTTGTCAATAAAAGTCTCTAAGGGGTAATTTTTCAATATCGTGTATTTCGATATTTACTAATACCTACATTAGAACTCGAGTTCAACATCGTCGACCAAATTGAGGCTTGTAGGTAACTTGACGTAACCATCAGTATGCATAAGATATTTCCGCTTCACAAATACCTTAAAAGCTACTAAACGGACGTGAATTCACAGTAAATATTAGATAAACAACTACCAAAAATATCAAGGTACGAAGTATATACCAGCTACGAACGTGCCAACTACCTCTACTTGACTGATATTGAAAGTGTCGTTTAACACTTACCAAAAATGTATGTATGACAAATTAAATTAAGATGTTATAACCATTTCCATTGACACTATAATGTGGTCAAAATATAATATAATTAATATAAGTAATATTTTCCAAGTCCATAATTTATTACGCCTGTTATTGCTCCAGGCGACTGGGCAGAGATTTACTTACCGGCAATGTACCTTTTAGTTATATTATAATATTAAGTCTCATTGCAATAGTGTGTGGGTTATTTTCAAAAAAGCCATTGACACTCAAGATTAAGAAGTCTGACATTACTTTCATTCCTGATTTTTAGAGTTCAGTTCTTCAATTGCTGCTGAACGAACTTCGATCAACTAATGGAAAGATTTACATCTCTGGGCCCGTATCCTACGCAAGCCAGGAGCCCTGGCTGTTCGTAGCCACAGTCCGACAGAACATTCTATTCGGTCTGCCCTACAACTCGAAGAAGTACAAAGAAGTAAGTATTAAGCTATAGTCTATTCTACACTTAACGATAAATACAAGTAAAGCGAACTGTGTGACTGTTTAAGCAAAAGGCAATATCAAAGGAACATACCTAACTATTACTGTTCAATTTCCTATGTCAGGTGGTAAGAGTCTGCGCGCTCCAGAAAGATTTCCAGCAGTTTCCTCATGGTGACCAGACCCTTGTGGGAGAAAGAGGAGCCTCCTTGTCTGGTGGGCAAAGAGCACGCATCAACCTTGCCAGAGCAGTTTATAGACAAGTACGTATATACGTAAAATAAGTGAATTTTACTTATATTAATTGAACTTCATTGCACAAACTTCCCTGCTCGTATAAACAAATAGTTCTATTAGCAGACCATCGAAGTATATTTAACTGAGTGTGAAGTGAACAAATTTTGATGACCATAATAAAGTTACCTTTCCTCGTTCAAATAGGCAATTCTAAGATTTCATAACTTCTATAATCCATAGCACATTGCATTCTAACGACATCGAGATAAAGTCCCAATATAATTAAGCTAATTCCTGAAAATTAACCGACAACGCTAACCGTTTCCTTTTACTGTCGGTTAGTTTAAACCGGGGGCTCATGAACTGACTTTTAATTTACATTACGACGCCTTAAACAGAGAGTACCTTCTGGGTTTTATTTTACCTTTTTACATAATTACGTAAGTGTTTAAACCACTTAGCAAACCCTTGGAATTTTTAATTTGTTTCCTTTGATCACCCAGAGCCAAAATAAAACTGTTTTTTTAACGTTGTGCCATTAGGGTTTAGGGTATCATGAGTATAGTGGCTTAATCGTGCCTCATTCGTCACACGATATGCTGTGCCTTTAGCCATGTCTTATTCATGGTTTAAGTTTATCTTGAAGCTGCCTTCAACTATTAGCATTTGTGCAGGCGGATGTGTACCTGCTGGATGACCCGCTGTCGGCAGTGGACGCGCACGTGGGGCGGCAGCTGTTCGACGAGTGCATCAGCGGGTACCTGCGGCACTCCACGCGCGTGCTCGTCACGCACCAGCTCCACTACCTCAAGGCCGCCGATTACATCGTCATCATGAACAACGTATGCCACATTTCGTTACCTATTTAGAAGTCAATGAACTCACCAATAAATTTCTTGCTTCTCATTTATTTTATCACAAACACAGACAGATAAATATGTTAAATCCTACACGTACTTATTGTGAATATCAAGTTTCACAATTTCCATAACTAGCTAGGTTACAGGGTGAATTAAACATAGTAAAAGAATTACAATGCGAAAAAAAATATTTATGTTATTTCTTATGTTTTGCTAGGGCTCTGTGGAAGCTAAAGGAACATACGATGAGTTGATAAACACTGGCAAAGACTTCGCCAAATTGCTTTCATCCAGCCACGATGAAAATGAAGACCTTAAAGATATAGAAAAACCACCGCCGATGTCTAGACGAACGTCTGCTAGAGTAAGTACCCTATCTTAAAATTTCATTGACTTTGGGGTTCCTAAATAACCTTTCAACCTTTCATATATTAAACAAGTCAAGACTACTAGATACTGAGATTAAAATGCACAAATACTAAAGTACCTACGTAATGGCATATAAAATCACTATGAGCGAAATGTAAAACACATAAAAAATATGTTCCTACATCTCAAAAACCTCAGATTCTATCTAACATACGCCAACCCAACATCACAGCGGTACTTATCGTACGTGACAAGATTTTTTTTCACTACAAACTACGTGTAACTTGGAATCCTGAACTACAATCCACCCCTTTCCAAACCAGAGGGAAAATTTCAAACCAAACCTTAAGTTTTTGTACATAAGTTTCAAGTCTGCAATAGCATAATCAAATCCATGATTGAATTTAAATTTATTGAAGGAGCTTGGGACTGGTCGATAATAGCGTAGTCGTATTTGGCGACGTAGAATATCTTATGACTTCTTATTGCTATAGATGTAAAGCTGCATTTGTTTAAAAGTGAATATTTCCACATTGATCATTTATATTTTGGATGCTATTTATTACACAGATACTATTAGTAAAAATTCCAATGCAGCATTTTGCAATACTCATTTGTATAAATTGCTTCGGAATGATTATTTTCTCAAAGATCTTGACCTACAATTTAATTACTGTAATTTTAATTCGATCGACACCTGTTTGCAGCAAAAAATATACCGACTCGGCAATTATAAAATCATAGGTTCTTCTACTATTAGTATATTTTTGATATGTGTATGAACGGATTTATATGTAGGATAGGAAACCGTTGAAAAAGTATCTATGTCAGGTACTAAAATTACTTAAAATAGCAATATGATAATATAAAACCAAAACCATTGAACCACACGAAGAGGAAATCGACGTGCTATTTCATATTTTAACCCAAACTGCCCATCTTGCAGTTATCAACGACACGGCGTCCTTCGCTGTGCGAATCAACAGGCGGGTGCGAGGTGGCGCAAGAGATGGAGGAAGAGGAACGAGAGTCAGGCTCAATGGGCTGGCGCGTGTATGGTGCATACCTGCGAGCTGGAGGCCGCGCCCCTCCACTGATCTTCATGATCGTATTGCTCGTCGTTGGACAACTGTCAGCTACACTCTGCGACTACTGGGTCACATTCTGGTACATCACATTGGAATAACTTAATACACTGCCTCATTTACATGGCACGTCGTTAATGACCAACTAACGTTTCCATGATCTAACATAATATTTTAAAAATTAGAATGCAACGTATATCCTTGACGTGTATTGACCTTTACTTATCGCTAACATACTATTAGAGAGGATCATAATATACATATGTACATTTTGTAACAAAGGTCGACTAAATTCACAATCCAATTGCAGGACAAACGAAGTCACCACGCTAAAGGAAGCTGCTAATAACAGAACAACCAAGGACTACCACGTAGACCGGTCGCCTCCACTTGATAATGGCACTTTCAATTTATCCAGTTACTTCTCCGGCGTTAATATCAAGCCAGGTAATTATTTATCATCTCAAATGATCCAATTAAGTAACATCATTTATTTTCGAAATTCTGTCTTAGCAGAATCATTTCTGTTATCACCATGTTTCTAGGACTAATTATCTTTTTTATTGCAGACTTAGAAATCCACGCGTATATAGGACCTCTGGATACTGCTCAATATTTGTACGTGTACTCAGCATTGATTATTTGCTGCATATTCTTCATCACGGCACGTGCATTCATGTTCTTCAAGGTGTGCATGACGGCGTCCCGCAACCTCCACAACGATATGTTCCATTCTATGCTCAGGGGGGTCATGAGGTTCTTCGATACTAACTCCTCTGGTAAGTACCAGCCTCTCTATAAAATAAGCTCCAAAGTAAAAAGCTAATGAATCATATCCCTAATGTTGAATGTATCTGTTCGCAGGCCGAATCCTCAACAGGTTCTCTAAAGACATCGGAGCACTAGACGAATTGTTACCACGATTCCTTCTTGAATGTATCCAGATTTACCTAGTGATGTTCAGTATTCTGGCCCTCAATGCAGCAGCTCTCATTTGGACGCTTCTGCCTACTACTATCATTCTTCTGTTATTCTACACTATCCTTCAAATATATCTAAAGTCTGCGCAGGGTATCAAAAGATTGGAAGGCACAAGTGAGTGATCTCCTTTGTCTTTAAATAAACTGTAAAAAAAACTGTACTTAGGTCAAATTTTCTAATAATTTTACAAATTTCTTGCAGCTCGTAGTCCCGTATTTTCCCATATGTCTGCTACTCTCAATGGCATCAGCACAATACGGTCGGCTGGAGCGGAACAAAGATTGATTAAGGAATTTGATAGATTCCAGGTACGTAAAACAACTCACATGGCAACTTTATAGAAAATCTTTATTATTATTATTTATAGCTTTCAAACTTCATACCTTTTAACTAATAAATACCTAATCTTCAAAATATAGGTAAACCTAAACCTAGGTAAACATATTATTTTCTAGATCTCATGAACTTTCCAAATCAATCCTTAAATTTTTATAACAAGTGGTGTTAGCACTCTCTCCGGATCTAGATTGACATTTGTGTTACTTGTGAACAGGATATTCATACTTCCACATGGAGTAGCTACCTGGCAAGTGGTGTAACGCTTGGTTTCTGGCTGGACTTCATCTGCGTCATATATCTGACCATAGTGATCGTCGCCTTCCTTGTAATCGACAGCAGTAAGTACTTCAGTACTACAACATTAATGAACCTACAAATTTTGTTTGCATTCTAACAATATATCGTATGATACAGAAACAATATTCTCTGGCAACGTGGGTCTGGCGATATCACAGACGTTGATCCTAACGGGAATGCTTCAATTCGGAGTGAGACAGACGGCGGAGGTCATCTCACAGATGACCAGTGTAGAACGAATATTGCAGTATACGCACATCGAAAGAGAACCCAAGTGGGACAAAGGAGGTTAGTATTTTTACCTCGACGAAAGAATTCGACGTAACTACACTTCTAGCACTGTAGTTTAGCACTACAACAAAAAGTATGAATTTTGTAGCTAAAGTAAGTTTTTTGTTCACAGAAAAAGAAACACCAAAGGGCTGGCCTTCACGTGGCCGAATTCAATTCAAAAGCTGTTACATGAAATATACCCCCGAAGACTTACCAGTGCTAAAGAATCTCAATTTAGTTATAGAAAGTGGATGGAAGGTAAAATCGTCGCTGAAAAAGTCGCTGACTATTCATATACACTTATTTACTGTGCAAAGTTGTAAATATACTCATACTAATAAAAATGTTTGCAGGTGGGCATCGTAGGTAGGACTGGCGCCGGCAAATCATCACTGATCTCTTCTCTGTTCCGCCTCGCCATCGTTGAAGGAGAAGTGCTCATTGATGACGTTGACACTGCATACTTGGCTCTACAGGTAAACGTATTGTTTTAACATTGAATTAACTTGCGAAAAGCTTTCATCGAAATAATCTGTAATTATTGTTTACTTAAACCAAAAATATAACATCTTGCGTTCCAGGAACTGCGATCAAAGATATCCATAATACCCCAGGAACCGGTACTGTTCTCAGCGACTGTCCGATACAATTTGGATCCATTCAACAACTACGATGACGACCAACTTTGGCAGGCGTTAGAAGCTGTGAGTTTTATAATAGCTACATACCTTGATTATATACCTACTTATTAAAGCCCTCTAGCCACGCCACCCGTCGCGGAGAACCTAACGGGTAACCGGGGCTTCGGCTCGACGTGCAGGAGAAGGAACGGGGTGGTTTGTAGTCAGTAAGAGTCTGACACTTCCTCCCGCCTCACCCAGGCGGGAGCAGTCATTCGATGATTTTCCCCCCTTAAAAAAAAAGCCACGCCACCCGAATTTAATGAAAAAAATTGTAGTTAATCGTAACAATACTCTAAAGCCAAGTTCCCGTTTTTAAAATGTTAAAATATGTTGACAATCAGTACTACACATTCCTTGTGACTGGCCAACGACATTTAGGCATGTACTTACGTTGGAAAAAATTGTGTGAATTTGCATTGTATTTGCACTTGCAAAAGTTCAAGCCAAACTATTTGCTACAATAAAATTTGATATTCGAATAACTTATGCGAGACCAACATTCAGTAGGTATCTAGATGTAGTCCCGTAAAGTGTTCATCATATTTTTGTTTAGGTGGACTTGAAAGCTGCAGTACCGTCACTGGACTTCAAGGTATCGGAGGGAGGGTCGAATTTCTCGCTGGGGCAACGGCAGCTCGTATGCCTCGCGCGCGCCATTTTGCGCGCCAACCGCATCCTCGTGCTCGATGAGGCAACCGCCAACGTCGACCCCAAGTAAACTATTTTTAGCCAATTTCTAACTTAACAAACTATAACCTTTGGCATACATTAAGAACAACATTTTTTGAACAAAATCAAAATTAACTAACTTATATTTACTACTTGTTTTCAGGACGGATGAATTTATCCAAAGAACAATCAGGACGCGATTTGCGGACTGCACCGTGCTAACGGTAGCTCACCGACTGAACACCATCATGGACTCGGACCGAGTCATGGTGATGGACTCCGGGCGACTAGTCGAGTTCGACCATCCTTACCTCCTCCTTAACAACCCTGAAGGACACTTCACCAAAATGGTTAAAGAAACCAGTGAAAAAATGTCAGCACAACTATACCAGATAGCAAAGGACACATACCTTAATAATGGTGGAGTTATTTAACAGTGCCTTTCTCAATAAGTTGTATAAGTTATTTGATTAAGTACCTAATATTAATTGCCATCTTGTTGGAATGTTTTAGAAAATAATTTAAAAACAGCAACTACCTACCTGTAATATTGCCGTGCTGGACAAGCGATAAATCTCATTTCTATTTTATTTTTGTACCGCCTCTGTTGTCGTGAAATCTCGTTGGAATAGTGTTGTAGTAGTATTTGAACTTACTTTATTTCATTTTTTATAACATTATACAAGACATAATGTACAATAAAGTTCATAAAATCAAATTAATTAGATATAAGTAGTAAGTTGACGTACCTACAGATCTATCCAAATACTATATAAATGTCTATGTAGGTATAAATGTATTAAAGTTTTCTAATGCTATGCCATTGGAGACTATTGAGATTCTTTTCAGTTAGCATTTACAAAATGTACCTACCTATACAATTCGTTTTGAACCTCATAAAATTCAAAACCCAGTTCCAGTGATGTACCTACCTTTATAATAGGATAAAATACACATTTTTTAATCACAATGTTACATTCCATTGTTAACTTACGGCAGGCAACGTAACGTAGGTACTACCTAAATAGAATTCTTTAATTGCCACAGTCAGTGGAGTATAGTGTTAAAGTACAGTGCTGGACAAAACTTTGTAATTTATTTTACTATGAAATTGTATCATAACAAGATTTTCTTATAAAACTGAAAAATGCCATAGAGGTTACCCTCGAAAAATAAAATATAAGGTTCATAAACAGTCTTTCATTTGTTAATTGAGATTGTAGTCTAACATAGATGGATAACATAGACCTATTCCAGACCTATACCTGTCCTGACCTAGACCTATACACATAACCATACATACAAATAAAAATGTAAAATACTGCTATCATACAAATAAGAAATCAAATCACCGTAATGTAAGTAATACGTTCTCCAAAGGTTGTAGATAAATATAGGTAGGTACTATGGTAAGTAGGTACTACTGCAGTCATGGGTAGGCACTTATAACTATATTGTAGTTTATTGGGAAGCCCCGGAAAATATTTGTTTGTGGTACTGGTACCTAATAAGAAATACCACAAACTAATACTTAAAGATAAATAAATGTTGGTTGAATGTTTGTAAATATAATATTTAACACATCGATAAAACATGTGAAAGAAAGGTACACACGGCTATTTTAAAATTTGGGGAAAATAATATTATCTGAACACTTTTTTAACACAATGAATATTATTATATTATAGGTAATGTATTTTTCAACAGCGCAGGCGCGGCAGCTAGTTACGATGGCTGGATAACCAGCTGCCGCACAACCTGTAGCGGGTTCGATTCCTGCACCGAACAACTCTTTATGTGATCCACAAGTTGATGTTACTATAATTATTATACTTATTTCCTATACTTATTAAACTCTTTGATGTGAATTGATGACATGAATAGTATGTTTCAAAATGCACCCATGATGCAGAAGAAAAACCTAAAAAGTCTTTTAAAAAAATATCGATAATAGGCAAGTATGCAATTTATTTTAATGTAAATTAATGTATTTTAAAACTGAGAAGAGAGAAAGGAAATAACTTGTTTTTATTTTTACACAATTAATTTGTACAAGATGCACACAATAAATAAATAAAGCAGTAAGTAGGACGATGCATAGAATTCTTTATAACGACCTGGTTTATTAGTAGACGTTGGCAACACAATTCGAAATGTCAAATAAAATACAACCAGTCTCTCATTCTGTCTGTGGCATTTGTCAAAGTACTTGCCTAGCCTTAGCCAGCCAGAGTGAAAACCAAAAGCTAAGCTAACGTTGTTTGCCTGAACTAATCTAATAACACTAGCTAACATGTAAGTATACCATCTAATATTTCCGATAACATAATAGTATCAAAGTTTCGTATGTATTTAATGTATATTTACGTTATTTGCAGACAAAATGACACCGGAAATAAATGCTACACCACCATCAGTTTCGTGGGCACAGAGGAGTGCTCATGTATTTTTGACATTTAATGTAGAATGTGAGAAACCAGATATTGTAATTGCTAAAAAATCTGTCTCATTTGAAGGCACTTGCACGCCGGATCAAAAGTTACATAAGGTTTTCATACCATTATACTCTGAAATAGACCCAGACAAAAGTTCATACACAAACAAAGGAAGGTTAATTGAAGTAGTTTTGGCAAAAGCAAAAACTGATGAACCTTTTTGGCCAGCCTTAACCAGCGATAAAAAGAAACATCACTGGCTCAAGGTGGACTTCAACCGTTGGCAAGATGAGGATGAGAGTGGAGATGAGTTTGATGACATGAATGACATGTTCTCCAGCAAGTTACCAAACTTTGGTGATGAAAACGACAAAGGGGCCAGCAGCTCGTCTGATGAAGATGATCTGCCAGATATAGAATAAACGATCTCGAGTATTATATAGCCAAAAAAATTTAAATAGCCTTAGAAATTTTGTAATTATGGACAATATTTGTGCTTTTATACAAGGAATAGTGTGGTAGTGGTACCCCCTAAACATTTTACATAAAATAAGGGCAAAAGGTCTGTATTCAGTTTCTACTAATGATGTACCTAACTAATACTAATTTAATTTAGAGTTAATCAAATTCAATTTATGTTTATATAAGGTGCTCTATAATTATCTGCCACGGCTTTAATGGGAGGTAGTGTTATGTTTACAGATTACAATTGTGAAGAAATTTCGTACCCCGGACCAGTTAATTACATAAAGTAATTAAGTAAACATTGACTACATTCTGCATAATGTCGTTCACAAATTACGCGCGATGCGTCGCTTAGTCAATGAAAACAATTGCTATCTCTTTCCACGTGTACTGAGAATGAAAACTAATTTGTGAACGACATTATGCAGAATGTAGTCAATGTTTACTTAATTACTTTATGTAATTAACTGGTCCGGGGTACGAAATTTCTTCACAATTGTAATCTGTAAACATAACACTACCTCCCATTAAAGCCGTGGCAGATAATTATAGAGCACCTTATATATTTATTGGCTTTCATTGCCAACTCTATTTGAAATTGTTTGTCCCAAGAAGGAAACTTTATTTTTAATTATTATTAAGTTGTGTGACTAAAGTTTGCATGTTTGAAAACATCTACATCACTTATCCATGTATACTTTAAAAGTAGATTAGTATATTGGTACCATACCCAATTAATGGTGTCATCAAACATTATGTCTATCATTATGACCAAATTAACACTAACAATTTGAAGTTATCTTCATATCATATCTGAATATTCTTGGTTGTGGCTCAGTATAACTTAGGTCGATGACAGGCTAAAATTTTGTTTACAATGCCGAGTAGTTGTAATGCTTTACATATGCCCCATACATTTACATTAATTTTACAATCCAATTATTCAATAACAATTATGGAAGAAAATTTCTAAATCAATTGTTACATTTTGTCATAAATTTGCAAATGAAAATAGGTTTCAAGCAATAATGTACATTCCAAAGATTATTAGACTATGGCTGCTAAAAAATCGTATGTATATTTTATAACCTAAGCAAACTCAATAGGGCTACTATTTGAGCCATGATAGTTATCGTTTAAGTGCATACTGTATTTTATATTTTTTAAATAGTTTAATTTCTTCAAGTAGGTACCTTACCTTATACAATAGTATTATGTAAGTTTAGTCATTTTTATTTTTCTCAAATGTGTTAAAAATACTACCTACTATATCCAAAAGATTGAACGATTTTGTTTTTCAATATTTTCTTTTGTGCTTGTGTTGCACACATTAGCAGAAGTAAATCTTGTCATGCATTAAATTATGTTCTTTATAATAAATGAGTTTTCATATCCCAGTGTAACCCTGTACTATTCTGTACCTCCAGTTAGGTACCATTCAGCTTAGAATTTTAAACCAAAATCATGACACTATGGCAAGGATTTAAGTGTGGGAGAGCCATGCTTCGGCACGAATGGGCTGGCCCGACCTGGAGCGATACCACAGCCTCACAGAAGACCGACGTGAAGCAACGCTTGCGTTGTGTTTCGTCGTGTGAGTAAAGTTATCGGTGGCCCAATTACCCCCCCCCCCTCCACGAATCCCCAACCATCCCCAAAAGGCCGGTAACACACTTGTAACGCCTCTGGTGTTCCAGGTGTCCATGGGTGACGCCGATTGCTTACATCAAATTATCCGTCCGCTCGTTTACCGGCTTATGCCATAAAAAAGGTGTTCTATTAAGTTGTAAAAAAGCTTTTACTGTTTTACATGAGAGGCATGTAATGCGCAATATAATGGTATGTACAAAAATAAGTCCCCATATTTTTTACTTTGCCTTGAATACCCAACTGTGACTAATAAAACCAAGTAGGTACCACCTCCTTCCAATCGCAACTTATTGCTATTGGGGAGTCCCCATTTACTGAATGCTGGCTGACCAAATTAAAATGGACTTAGTAGGTACTAAAAACAGAATAACTGGAAACGAGAATTTATTTACCAATCTTGATGTAATTAATATTGTCTCCTAAAAATATGGTACCCACTAATACAGCGTCAAAAATTAGTTACTTAAATATTAAATTGACCGGTTTTAGTACTAACTAAAACAGCTTACATTATTGAATTTTGAATTATTTTCGTTACAAATGTAATCTTATTTCACATCTTCACGTTTTGTAACCTGTAAAGTCTATGGTCTATTTGTATTCTATATTCCATGTCTATTTTGATACACATCACTGACCCCTAGACCCCTAGACTGACTTTGACTGACATCTTTTGTTGACAATTGACATTTATACTATTGACAGAGACGACAATTGCCAGTGACAGTCAGTACGTAATTGAGAGAATTCAAAACATTCAAAAGTTCAAAACAAATACAAAAGGGTGTTTTGATTATAACATTTTTTAACCTTTTTTTGAAACTTTTAGAAAACTTAGAATAATGAACACAAAAAGGGATAAGAATCAACAAATACAAAGAAATCTTCATATGGGTTATCCCTACATAATCGGTTACATGAGCGTTGATGTGCATCGTGAATATCATCATAATTTGTCGCAATTGAAGTACTTAACATCAATACCGAAAGGAATGATTTTTTATAACTTAAACCACAACATCGAAAATGCTGTTAAGCGTACGACAGACGAAAACAACGAAAAAATATCACTAATGCTGAAATTTCTCCTAGACCAAAGATATCGTTTAGATTTTTTGATTGAACCCACTGACACAACCTTTATAACGTATCGTAGAACTTTGATTAGTGTTATGACTAGCGTATACACGCGCGAACCAATAAGCATAGTGGCTAGCTTACTAAAGAAGGGCATCTACCTATGTTCAGTTAATACTGCTCAAGACTTACAAAATCACAATCCAACTGCACAGAATGCTAAGTTTTGTGCTTGGGGCTATAAGTTTGAGCAATACATGCTGTCAGGTAATTTTCTATACCTACAATAAAATGATAAGTCTATAAAACAACTATCCATTAAGTCAGTAATTTCACTTCTAATGCCATTTTTGCATGATATAAATAAAATTTAAACAGTTGAAATTAACCAATTTTTACTGAGATGTAGGTAGTACTAGTAGTCGGTAGTGATGTCCCTAGGTACCCACCTTTCTTATTGGTATTTTTCAGATATACCATGTATGCAACCTAATGTAAAGAAACCAGTTGTGGAAAATGAAGAATTTTCTATGTATTATAGTTCTCAATTAGGTAAACACAGGTTATTCTATGGAGCTCAAATTGATGGAATGCTGGCCACAAGAACAGCACCAGGACCTCCGAACACAGATGATGTAAACATCAATTTGGGATATTTGAGGAGCAACAAGTTTGTGGAGCTAAAAACTAATAGAGAAATACATAACAAAAGGCAGGAACAGAATTTTAAGTAAGTTTTTGTCTTAAAACATATTTATATAAGAGACTCAAATGAAAAGCCTCACAGAAAACCGACGTGAAGCAACGCTAGCGTTGTGTTTCGTCGTGTGAGTGAGGTTACCGGAGGCCCAATTACCTTCCCCTTCCCCAATCTCCCCAATCCCTGAATCCCCAACGATCCTCAAACTCCTAATCCCCAAAAAGCCGGTGACGCACTTGTAACGCCTCTGGTGTTCCAGGTGTCCATGGGCGACGCCAATTGCTTACCATCAGATCCGTCTGCTCGTTTACCGGCTTATGCCATAAAAAAAATGCTAACAAACCCCTACTATTGCCAGCTAATTATAATTTAACTCGTCGAGTACCGTCATTATAGACACAATTATAGAACAATAGGTTGCGGTCACCGGTGACCGCTTGGTATTTGACAGTTTAATAAATTAGTACTCCATTAACACTGTTTGTAAAACCACACACATGAAAATGTATGACAAGGGGTCGGACCAAAAGTCTGTGGAGAATTAATATGTAACATAAAAAAATTCACTTAATTTTACACTTAGTTACAATAAACACTTCACTCTTTGTCCTCAAGGTTATTTTCTTTTTCAGTCTTTCTGACTGGATTTGGGTGTTACATTGTTCTCACATAATCGAACCAATAAAACTATGTACCTAACTAGAGAATTGTATTGTAAACCTGATTGAAAAAGAGTAACCTATGGAGTTTCTTGCTCGTTCTTCTCCATAGGAATCTACGCCTTGGAATGAGCAACTAGCTTCACTTATAAATTTTTGTTGTTTGACGTTCAAAAGTGCCATCCTGGTCTAATTGAAATAAATGATTTTGATTTGACTTTGACTTTATTAATAAGCATTTAAACTGTCAAACACCAAGCGGTCACCGGTGACCGCAAGCTATTGTTCTATAATTGTGTCTATAATGAATGTGTGAATCGACGAGTTAAATTAAATAAATATATACAACATAAAATACAAAAAACTAAAATATTTACACCTTAAAAAAGTAATCATATAAAATAAAGGTTTGACCACCACTGGTTGTTATAATTATTGCTAACGAACACACACTGTTTACTTTGTTTCAATAAACTTTTAACCTATGTTGTGTAATGTCTTTTACAGGAGATACAAAATGATTCGTTGTTGGTGTCAGTGTTACCTAGCAGGACTAAAGGGATTACTTGTAGGCTACAGAAATGATGATGGCATTATTCAAAGAGTACAATGGTTCGATACTGAAGACATAGTAAAATACTGTGGAGTAAGTTTTAAAAACGTTTTTTTTTTAATATACCTATTTACAGGGTTCTTTCTCATTAAAAATGTTAACTAACTACCTACTAACTACCTGCCTACAGTATTATTACTGTAGAGTAGGCTAGTCTTATAGACTATTTTTGTTCATTCTCCTGTTTCGGTATTTTCGTCAACAATCCGCCGCGACCAAAGTGTACCCATCTATGCAGATAGTCCAAATGAAGGAACAAGTAATGCATAAAAAATCTTTTAATGTTGTAGTGGAACTAGTTGTGCAAAAAATTTTGATTATCATATTGTACGGTCATCGAGGTTAAGAGTGTGTCCTAAAAATCAAGGATCGCCAGGAAGGAGGTAAAATTCGAATGACTAATTTTGACCCAAACAAACAGGTTGAGCTAAATAAAACCGTTAAAAAATTGTAGCCAACCATTAGTAATTTCGGATAGCACGTGTTGTAAATTTAATCAGGAGTACCCTTATTAGCCTTTTTTACCAACACAGGATTTGTGCTACATGTTGCACAGTCGGTAATTGATCAACCAGCTACTGCAGTAAGCGCAGAATTAATTTTAACAGGTTACTAAATTCTTTGTTTTTTACAGGACGAATGGAATCCACAAGTAGCCATCGACTATTTAGTATATTTCCTCAATTACGTAGAGAATTGTTTCAAATCTCTAAAGGATACCCCTGGTGATCTCTTTGCGTCTAAAGAACCATTAACACTGAAGTTTGATATTGATAACCAACAAAAAATCACAGTGACTAAGGATATTTACAGGGAACATGTAATTTTACCAGATTGGTATGTTTATAAAATGCAGGCTCACTTATAAATAGCATTATAGCTAAGCTAAACCATAATTCTCGTGCAATATTTGCACGTAAAAAAATAAAATGGTAATTTGTATCTTGCGGACTAATATATTTATCTATAACTATGTTTTGTATCATTGTTTTATGCTCTGAATATGGTAATGGGAACTCCTGTGCAAATATTATATTACAATATCGATCATCTAAATTGGCAGAACAAATAGGTTTATAGGTGCCTACATAGAAAATAGGTTAACATTCTACACCTATGCGCTTCAAACATATGTAGATACCTTTATAACCATCGTCGGCCCATCAAATATAAAAAATAGAAAGAATCTTACATATAAATATCTTCAAGAAAGAAGTAAATAGGTTTATAAAGGGTCGACAAGACCCATGTAGTGCCCCATGTATTGCAAGCGTTCATAGGCCACGGAAACCACTGGCACTTACCATCAGGCGGGCCGTGTGCTTTTCTTGCCACGGTCGTGTTAAAAATTTCAGTAAATGGTAAATTGAATAATATCAACAACAAGGTTGCACGCACCGCCAGTCGCGGGTTCGATTTCAACAAGTACTCTGTGATCTCTGTGTGATCCACATACTTTTTATTGTTCCGGGAAAGTGTGTGGTGTGCATGAGACTGATTCGTAAGTGGTTAGTTTCTGAGATATTCAAACATTTTTGGTTTACGACAATAACTTCCGAACTACGTTACTGGCAGAAATATTTTTGTATTGAATCACTATTGTGGTTAATAAAGAAATTAGACTTATTCAAAATATATATATATTACTTACACTAAGCGTAAAAGCTATTAGAAAACTTCCTTGGTTTATCAGCTAACTACCTAAAACGATCAATTCTCAAAAATAAATTAATAACTTGATGATAAGTAAATGTACCTAAAGAAAAAAAGGCAATTTACTACATAGGTACTTACATTTTGTTTGCGCCAAGCCTGGAATTTTTTACAATTATCCTTTCTATATTACCTACTTAGTACTTAGTGGCAACGTGAACCAAAACTAAGTATTTTCAATTTTTCTTCTATCAAGACATTTTCTGTCAATCAATTTGATGGCCGGTAGCGGTTGGACATGGAAACATAACGTCAAAATTCAATACAAAATTTCCGTTAACATGTAACTAAAATAAACCATAGTAGATATTTACCTCACAAAAAACAAAACTAAAAACATGGCTTTACATAATGATAAATTAAAAGAATGATGAAAAATGGGACAAATAGATGAAGCAAAGTCAGCTCCGAAAATGGCCAAGACTCCATCGGCCGTCAAAAAAAGTTCTTCAACGAAATCCAAAGGCGGTAGCGGAACTGCAGGTGGATTTGACTTCAGTAACCCTGTACTACAAGCATTAATAGTAATTATATTACTGATAGCGGTAGGATCAGCGCTTTTCTGTTTTTTCGGCCAACGCCGACGCAGAAGAAACACGTGTTGCTGGTAAGTAAATAACCTACTCCAATTATAACAAGCGCAAGTCTAAAGAAAACCTCAACTAATGTATTAATTACGAAAGTGTGTTTGTTTCATTCAACCTATTTGACTAGTCTTGAATATTTACATAGGTACCTACATATTATAATAAGGACAAAAAATCAGGACATACGACTCCTATCCTACAAAATTAAAAATTCGTGTCTAATATTTTTCATTACATAACTCACGTACTCAATAGATTTTTAATTCTCATACCCTGTCAACTACCTCATTGTTTATATAACTATAGGTATATATGCTAAAGCAGTAAAGATAAATGTGCGATGTAGGTATATCAAAATGCTTTGAAATAAAAATTGAAACTCAATAAAATAAATGTATTTTTTGTATTAAAATGGAATTGTATTACATATTTAAATGCACTCTTCCAGAATACGGCGCTTGGAAGTGAACCCGGTACAATAACGTGAAGCCTGAAAAAAAACATTGTACATGTAAATAAAGCAGCCCAACAAGACAGAATTTATAAAACTAAATAATTGTACAAACTAATTAATAAAAATATTTTTAGATATTAATATTTTAATTTTAAATCATTGTGTTACCTACCGTGCTGGTATTTATTGAGTATCTTCAGTCTTCCCAAGTGCCATCTCCATCACACCAATTATCACCTTCACACTCTTTTTGTGCTCGAGTTTCTGAAGTTTTGGCAACTAAAATAGGAATTATACATAATTACACGAAGAAATGTTATAGTACAATGGCCAACAGCTCAACCTTCTTCAATCTGCCACATTTGTTCATTGGATTTTCGATTTAATGTGGATACAATAAAGTCGAAGATGTAATAGAGAAATTTGACAGAACAGGATACATTGACCTGTTGGCCTTGGCCACCATACAATCTAACTTCTTTAAAATATCTAATTCCATAATGGCAACAGAAAATTAATATTGGCAGTGCGAGGCCTTAGTACGAGTTTGATTTAAGTTTAAAGAATTTGAAAAGAGTACGCGTTCGGCAACCTGATTGGCCGGCGCCAATGAACCAACCAATCAGAGCGTCGAACGCGTACTCGTTACGAAGCTCGTACTAAGGCCTCAGATCATACACAAGACGGCTTAACTTGAGTAGGAAAAACAAAATAAAAGTTGAAAAAAGAAGTATAATCTATGTTTTGATGTAGCATCCGGCGTTGTACCTACCTATCTGAATGTTTAAGGTCCGATTTTTTTAAGTTCAGTTAAATTTTATCAGAGGAATAACTTTGAATATTTGACAATTCTTCCATACTAAAATCGGTCAAATATCAATTTTATTCCACGGTTAAAAATTAACTGTTGATTGGAAAATAAAAAACATAATATTCCATTTAGTAATCTAAATAAAAAGTAGGACTACTCATATCATGACTAATAAAAATACCTACGTACCGTCGTGTTTTGAGGCATCATCAGCATTAACTGTTTTATCTGAAAGCATAGTCTTGGTTAACATTGTGCTTTTTTATATTATTAAATAACAACGGGCATAGGTACTCATCTATACCACACTTACTTGCATCTTCAGGTGCACCAGGTTTCAATTTCATCATTTTAAGAATATGTTGTTTTTCTTTGGAGAGATGCTTTTTACCGTTCATATGACTAGCCATCTGCTCGATGCATGTAACTGTAACCTGAAATTACCTAAATAATCAATAACAAAGTTCAACAGTTCCGTAATGTGCACCTCTGCTTACCCCTTCGGGGGTAATAGGCGTGATATTATGTGATGTGAATTTTTTATTTTATTTTTTTATTTATTTATAAACTATGTACATACTACTATCATAACAGGAACTAATACCTAATGCAATAGTGTATGTCAATATTAATAGAATTACAAGTCTATTTTACAATCAGGTACTACAACATTATAACTATGGTAACAAACATATTCCTTAAGCTAAGTCACAGATGGGTACAGGTACAGTAACAGGCTCTTCTGAATTCGTTCAGTGTACAATAAAATAAGTCAATGTATTCCGACATCACATTGAGCGTTCGCAGCGCCCGCGTCAGGGGCGCGCGCTGTAGGAGGTTGGTGCGTGCGCGTGGTATCGCCAGAAGCGCTGGCTTGCGCCGGCGCGCCGCGTATGCATCCGGTACACATAACTGTATCAGCTCCAAAACCCTCGGGTTATGTATTGTGCCGCGAAGCACTTTAAATAAGTAAGTAGCGACAGCTACTTCCCTCCTCACCTCAATTTTAAAATATCCCACCATGCCCAATACAAATAGAGTCGGATACAAAAGCGGGTAACCCGGATAAACACCATACATTTTTAAGTACAAAAATCTAACAAATTTGTTTTGTATACGCTCTATCATCAGTTTGTACTTGACTTCATGCGGTGACCAGACAACGGCCCTACACTCCAAATGACTTTTTACAAGGGCTTCATACAGTGCTTTCAATGCATTAAAGTAGTTCGTAATCACTACACTAAATAGATCCATGTTGAAATTAGCTTTTAGACTTCGTTCTGGACACTATCCATCGGCAAAATTTGCACATCTAATGAGAAAAGCTGACACACCGAATTGTCCAACTTGTGGAAAGATTGAGGATGTGCAACATTTGCTGATGGAATGTGTCCGGAATAAGGTGGAACGGGAGTCGTTGCTGAGAAAGTATGGCATTGCACAGATGAACGTAGGTATCATACAGAGTGTTTTAAGTGAGCCTGCATCAGAAATAGCACAAGCGTTTTACTTGCTAGTACCGCAGACCCAGCACCGACCCTCGTAATTATTTATAAACAACTAGGATAAGTACTATGTGTTAATAGTTATAAGGAACAATGGGTTTGATAATTATGTTAATTTTAACCAAAAACCCAAAATAAATTAAATAAAAAAAAAATGCATTAAAGTTAGTAAATTGGTTACCTAAACGCAATACCATTCCTAAATTTCGGTAAGCTTTTTTGCATATATTCACAATATGAGTCCTAAAATTCAAATCAGTAGTAAAGCGTACACCCAAGTCCCTGACCTCAAAGACCCGCTGCAGTGGCCTTCCGGCCATGCAGTATTGGTGATGACTTGGGTTATGAGCTCGTCTAAACGATAACACGGAACATTTGAATATTTGAATTGAATAGAACACAATGGTTATTACTTGTAAAAGATACACAGTGAGTACCGAATTTAAAGTTTAAACTTGGTTACAATGTATATGTCCATACAGGCTATTGCCTAAGGCCTCGAATAAACTGCATTGCAAGAACTGCACCGGGCAATGAAACCTATCTATAAAATTATAAGTAGTCATTATGACTCGTTCGACATTAACCTTCAAGTATGACGTGGTTTACTCATACCATAAACGGTGACGTGACGTATGTCAAACACCTTAATTATTAATCGAAATGGATTACTTGTATTTACTGATTTGCACAATATTTACTTGTATTCTGATCGGTCCATTATAATTCTATTAAGGAAGTGCAAAAAATACAACGTTCTCGGATGAAATCAGCGGTTTCTGATTCAAATTCTATAAACTTAAAATATAAATATTTCGCATAACTTAAAAAAATATATGTTAAAATCTTAGCTACAATACAATTATTTGGACGTTTTTTTGGAAAATTCTTATATTCGTGAACACGCCGTCTATGAGACACCCACGTCAGTAGTTAAAGGTTAATAATGGTTAGCGAAATATACGCGCATAACTCCCGAATTAGATAGGTACTGGACCAAATTGGATAATAATTATTTTTATCGTATTCATTAGAACAAGATTTGTAAATAAGAAAAGAAAAATTCGACACAAGGACCATCAGGAAATAATAGAAATAGATACGAAGGTGAGAATAACATACTACCTTGCAGATTTTACAGCACAGTTCTAAATCGGGACGCGCCACTACTTTGACGGGTTCCTTAGGCTTCAAAGTAGATTTCTGAATTGCTTCAGCGGATTTTAAGTACTTCTTTTCGCGACGAATAAGTGAATATCTATAAAAAACAACATCTTGTATTAGCAGGTACTTACTATCGTATATTAGAATTTGTTGAGCTTATGTTTTTGCCATTCAAAGCTACTAGAAGATAAAATATTTTTAGGTACTTACAAACGACCTTCCATGCCTCTTTGTAACAAATATCGGTTCTTTGGCTCCCTGCGACCCTCGACAACCCTTGAAATAAAATGACACAATATTGTCTAGTCTCACCTTCACATGGGACTCGGTACTCACAGCATAGTAGGAGAAATCAATAGGTACATTAAATCTCACATTTTATTGTGTTACATTGATTAAGTAAAGGATTAAAAAACGTGATTTTATTGCAAAAGATAGAAATTAACTTACCCGCGATGTGATTTCCCCAAATAATGCGAGTCAGCGTGAGTCTTTGATGTGATGTGAACATCACACAGCTCGCAATATAATTCACGTGCTTTGAGTGCAGTCTAAAAATACAAATGTAGTAAATTAATTCATATAATTCTGTGTTGACTGATTGCTAATTTACGATGTGCCCTGCTCCTTCATAATTCTTTCGTTCAGGTAAATTCCTCAGTTATAAAAATTGAACAATATGGCAGGCAATGCTAACAATTATTATTGATATAATATTTTAATTCTGTAACTTTAATTCATTACAACATGTACCTATCTTAAAATAGTACACACTACACATTATAAGACTTCACGTTTTAAGAAAAACAAACGTGAAGCTGGACAATTTGATCAATGTGATCTTCTATCCAGTCGAAGGAGTTCACATAATGTTCACTTGGTATTTACTGTTTACCATCCAACATACAAGATGAGATGTAAACAGCATCACAAGCAAACTAACAAGAACTATATTGTATTATCAACCATAACATAATGTGAAATAAGAAATACATTTGAAATTCGACTTTTGAGCGTCTCTGACAACCTACACACACACATCTATAAAGGCATAAAATAAATACATTAGAATAGTGTTGTATTGCTAAATAGTACCTGTACATAGTATTATGTGAACTGATATTGTCGACAGAATACCTACTGAAAAATCACATTGTCAAATAGTCCAATTACCTCATTGGGACGGTGAGGGCCAAGCTCTGCTCGTTGGGCGAGCCATTTTTTCTGCTTGCTGGTGTGGTTTTTAGAATTATAATGTAAACGAGCTGTAAAAAGTGAAAAGTGTATATTTACATATGATAAGTAATCCCGGTGTTAGGCAGTTCAACCAGTATCAAACTATTAGTCTATTGGTGACTGATAACTTTATTGGGTTATAACTTATGAGACACTCTGTAACAACTCAGTAACTACCTACTTACTCGAGTTATCATTTTCAAGTTTCATATTACAAACTCCACAAAATTGAGGCTCCATAAGTTTGAGTAGTGCTTTAGGTATCCCTCTCAATTGCTCCTTTGGAACACCACATTCTAAACAAAGGAAAATATATACTTGTAAAACAATATTGTCTAATGCACTGATTGACTAATTGACTGACTAATTCATCATCACCAAGTGCAAACTATCAACACTATAAACATGAAACTCGGACTGTATATTCACTTTATTATGTTGTATTTGAAAGTATAATAAACAAAATTATTGACATAAAATAAATATGTGTTGAATACAGCATTTGCCAAGGCTAGGAACAATGATTAAATATTTTATATCGGTAGATAGCTTACTAATCAGGAAGCCTATAGGATTAAGCCTGATATCTTTTGTTGGGAGTGGTGGTCCACTGTCTCCACTGGGTCCAAAACTTCTTCCGCATGTATACTGAGATCCCTGCCCTGACAACCAATAACCACCAGCTCCAGATCCCTCTTGTCCATAAAAATTATAATTCTTTGTATAGTTTCCTTTTTTATCATCGGCTTGTTCACCTTCATCATTGAGATATGCACTGAAAATATAGAATTTAAGTATTTTTTATTGAATAGTACAAAATGTGTAATTTCAAGTATAAAATACAATAAATTGGTATTATTTACCTGAAATCATCATTTTCTGGCCCTACACATACATCGTCATTAAGAATGTCATATTTGTCATGATCCATATTGAATCCTAAAAGAAAAGATTAGTAACAAATCAATGTGTAGTAGGGTAGTCATGGATAGTAATATTTTTAATTTAACTCGTCGAGTACCGGTTTTGCAGACACAATTATAGAACAATAGGTTGCGGTCACCGGTGACCGCTTGGTATTTGACAGTTTAAAGCATGAAGTTTTTGTAACATTTTCGCCATAGAGGCAAACAAGCAGACATAAAAAAGAACCAAAAGAATAATAATATTTTTCTAGCCTTTCTAGCCTTTGAAATCTCAACAGAATACAAACCAAAATACTTTGATTACAATTGTGTCATATGAATGCTAAAATAGTTCAGAACCAGCTTTAGATTCCATTATATTTTCTTTATGTAGAGGCTATTTTATTGCACTGATTTCACTTATACATATACGACAATTTGAAAACAGTTCATGAATGGCTTAGTTGCTTTGTTGAATATAAAATTCACTTGCTTACGTTGATAAAAGGACAAAAGTTAAGAAATGGAACTTAAATTATGTACATACGTGGAAAAGGATGTAAAAGTAATTATTTGACGTATAATAATAACAATCCAGCAAACTAGAATCACGGTTTATAAAGACATTGTTTCCAAAGTTTTGCTTACATATTTTGTAGTTCTAGCTGTAGTGTGAACTAATAAACACAATAAGCCTAATACATTATAATCAAGCTACGAATTGAATAAAAAAAAAATCAATGCTTATCTGTCACTGTCATTGCTGTCACATAATGACAAGATAACGCGACGTTTGACATGCGTTTGACGGTCTATGGTTTGACATGCCATGGTTTTTTGACCAATACAGAGAAAACTTTAAAAAGTAATAAAAAAGTCTATGGAGTAAACCAGAAAAATGATTTAAAGTTTTAAACATCCTTGGAAAAAATATTTAAATGTGAAACTAAACAAGAAAAATTTTAACATCACAAATTTTACTATTTATTATTTACGTTTGACATCTAAAGTAATCATTACAAAAATCGATTAGTTAACTTGTAGGAAGTGCAATAGGTCGTGTGCATTATTCAGACAGCGTATAAGAATAAATTGTTTTTGGTTTTATTACATTTTAGGGAGATACAAGAGTTTCGGTATTCTGCATTTAACATGGAGCGCAGCAGTTTAAAATAATAGAAAAAAACCAAAACATTGACAATAAGTGGGTAAATTAAATAGATACAAAACCTACCGATACCATTCACAAAAGCCATGGTATACAGTAACCACAGTACGGTGACCAGCGCCAGCAGGTCAACCTTACCATTTCTGTCAATGTTTTTACCATATCTTTAACTTTACAGAGTAATGCATTAAAGTCGAAAATCTAATGAAAAAATTTGACAGATTCGTGTAGGTTGAGCTGCTGGCCACTGAAGTACCTAGTCTAATCATTGCTTATATTCTCGGAACAATAACTAGGCATGGAAGCCAGGCTAAAATAGTAATTTACAAACGTATATCTGATGCTCTCGCTCTTTACACAATTTTGCGTAGGCGAGAATGAGACCGCAAACTAAACATAGTTCTATAATAATTTGCAGGTTGTCACAACTTTCAGTGGACTCATTACAATGTTATGTCATTGGACTTATTCAGCATACT